GGAGACCGGTGCATTTGGTAAGGTTGCCTCCCGGGGAGGGGGGAGGGTTACTCACATTAAAGTGCTATATGTATATGTGCCGCCAAAAGTGGTCCCAAATTCACCACGTCTGTCTGAAAAGGAGTATGTTATTTTACCCTGTCTGTATCTTTTTGTCATTATTTCTGTCTGAAAAAATAACCATATTTTCCAAAGACTGTCTCTAGAGCTTGAGTGATCCAACAATCAGGAAAATTAAACTGATTTTTTCTTTCTGTAACTTCATTTCGGTCGTCAAATAATATCCCCGGGAGTCCATCTAGGTAAATAAAAATAGCTGACCACCCACCCCCATTTCCCGCAATAAATAAACCTGAAACGGATTTCGATCCTATGATTCGCTATTTGCCATTTATGCGTACTGTCACAACATTCGCACACATCATGTGTCTTTGGTGAATGGATTTTGCACGTAGTTTGTTTCCATTTTTTAAAGTTTTTTATCGTTGTTCGTGCATCCTACAAACTTACAGTTTTTTTTCTGACCCTTCCATGATCATAAAAACATTGAAACTATAACACTAGTTAAAATTATGGTATAACATTTTGATCAAAACAACATTACACTGACGAAACTCGATTATCGATACACGTTGCCCCCCGGTAATGGCGGCCGTGAGCGCGCCGCCTACGGCGAAGGGGTAATTTATCTGCTTCTCGGATTCGTCTATTGCAGAACCAGTTGTGTTTTGCAAAAAATATATCGGTTATCATGGATTCATGCACTGGCTCAGATTTTCGTTCATGCAAAATACCATTCGTTTAGCACAGTGTACTGGCATAAGACCCTATGAAATTCTTTAATAAATCGTTTCACAAATATATTGAACATATCGATTTGCTGAACCATTGTACTGTAATCGCTCTGATAATGGAAAAGAAAGCGGGCGCTATTGGCATCTCGTTTTATCGTTTCACTTCCCTAATGTATACGTGTATCAAGTTATGCATACATTTTTGGGGAAAAGAAGTCGGTATGGTGAACATACGAACGATCGTCAATGTGATAACTTGGTGTCCGGTTTATTTATTTCAATTTCCTATTTCTTTTTCTTTTTGTAAATCTTTTTCACGCGTACTCCTGGCGACTACAAACACCATCTTTCCAAAAACGACGTTATGATGGTGCTAATCACGTTTTTTTCGCTTTGTCGCTTATTTGCAAAGACAGGCACAGAAATTTTGTGATAAACCTTCCACGATTCATAGCACTTATTGATGTTGGGTTATCATAGATAAACCTTTTTAATTATGACGTTAATCTTTTTATTATTGATACACGTGAGATGCACCATGGGAGTATTGCATTGCATCATGGTATCACCGATGTGCACCATGGTATCACCGAAGTGCACCATGGTATCACAGAAGTGCACCATGGTATCACCGAAGTGCGCCATGTAAGTACCACAGTAATCTATATGAGAACCACAATGCAACATTACAGATAGGTTTTCATTAGAGACAATCATTTTAATTTACATATCATTTATGGTTTTCCGTTCCCTGCAAAATCTCTGCCACAAATAGCTCTGTCTACGAAAAGCCGAATTGTCAAAAGGGAATATGGCGTTTTATATACCCTCACTTCACCATCAGCGTGCGTGAAAATACCCTGGAATAATGTCGAAACACACGCGATGTGTTGACGCCACCACAGTCCTTTGTTTGTCATGTTTTTAGTTCGATTTCACTCACGCATAACGCGGGATCTTAAAGTAAACAGAAAATGGTCTGTTGTTCAATATGTTCTTGAATATTTGGGGTTCGATCACCTGCAAACACTACCAAACAAAATTAGATTATTGGCTAAAATGTGCCGATAATATTGAGCACATATATCACAAAGAGAAGTTTTGATTGGAGAGATAATGTTATATCATTTATAATCAATGTTTTCATTTAAGCATTTTACATGCGTGGATGTACATTTCCCACTTAAACCGTTAGGGGCGCGAATAAGATTCAGCCAAGCACAGTATTCGCTGAACTAAAATTATTAAAGAATCATCTCAAACAACAGTACATGTATAGCATATCCGCAGATTACTACCTGTATATACATGTCCCTGTCACGACATGTCACAGCAGGCTTGGGTAATTTGTCAGAGACATTGTCCGGGCGGATACAGGATTTTTTTTTATGCGGACCCCAAGAACCCCCCTGGATCCGCCACTGATTGTGATGGCCGACGTTGATGGTCAGAATCCACAATGGAGTGGGAGTCTGTTGTGGAACCCTTGAGCGCCATAGCCATTCTTTGTCACCATTCAGAAATTGCAACTCACCCTTTTTCACATTTTGTTTTCAAAATTTCAATAAAACTGTATAGCCAAAGTTTAAAGCGGGAGAGTCGTCACCTGCGTATGCGGAATACTGCCATATCGTATCGTTGATTACAAACAAGTATCCATCCATAAACCTTTGCGTTTTTTTTAGCATGCGTTGTTATGAGGTATGTAATAACAATCTTGAGCTTCAACTTGAGCTTGTTCAGAGTCTACCTGAGCTTGGAAAAATGTTTACAGCAGAATTTCTAAACAAAGTTGGAGCACCGACACTGAGCTCCAACCTGAGCTTTAACTTGAACTTGGGACATTTACAGCAGTACTAATAAGCTCAAAACGAAGTTGGAGTACCGACACTGAGCTCTAACCTGAGCGTCTAAGATCAAATCTGCTGTGTTGAAATCACCCATTAAAGCAAGCAAAAGAAACATACTCTCCAACGAAAACGCACAAGTCTCGAAACACAGTTTAAACTTGCCGTTGAATAGTACAGTACGAAAATTGTCTCCTATTGGATGGGAAAATTGATTGAAGTCAGTGAAAATGGCAACAAACTGTGAGCGTTACGTCATGGTATTGATTATGCCCTGGGCGCGCAGAAGCCAAAGCGGGAAATATTTTACCCCAGTATTTTACAGGAGAAAAAGATCATTAAAAAAAAACATGGAATGACCCCTACCACATATTGTTTACAGCGGAGTTTAGCATCACCAATGTCAACAACATTACTTAAAACGCTGGTCGAAACTCTTGACCGAAACTTCGTTTGAGCTTCCGCAAGCTCAGGTTGAAGCTCAAGATTGCCATTACATACCTATTGTTATCGTCGCTTGGGACACAATTCCCGCGCGTGCGCAGAAGACGACCCTTCCGCTTTAATTATGTCCCTATTGTATACAACTGTGAACGTAAATCACAGAAAATACACGCTTTACTATATTTTCTTGTTGGTGTTCAAAAGGTTAACAACGCATTCCCATTCTATACTGTGTTAGTTGTTTAAGGTAGCGGGACTAGTATTTGCATACTTGTTTTCATATTCTAATTGTGACCAAATGACTACAAATAGACCCTAGAAAACATATATTTTTGGAATCGCCAGACTTCAAGCTTTTCAAAGGTGTGTTTGCCATGTCCGTATCTGCATTCTACGGTGCGTTACTTAATCAAAAGTGAAAAATTACTTTCTTTGTAAAAAAAATAATTACGCATTTATGCTGGTGATTAGAAGTTTTTTTTTCACTTTTCCTAGTTGTTCAATAGTCTGGTAAATTGAATGTGTCTGGGCAGTTTTATTCAAGCAACGCGTTTTAAAAAGTAGTGTCCTGAATTTTAATTTCTGTTTTAGTCGCATTGCCCCAACTCAAACCACAACACATTGGTAAATAATCAATGAAATAGTTTGTCTGGACACATTCAAGTTCCTCTCATTGTCACCTTAAAGCTGTGAAAATTTGGTGTTAATCCGACGACAATAAGTATACGTTATTTTTTGTTAAAGACCTTGTATTTTGAAAAACATAAACTCTTAGAAAACGTTGATGAAGTCACAGCAAGATTTTCAAGCTTGTTTATCTGCACAGCGACTTGTTTTCCCATCAAAG